AGTGTGCTCACCTGCAGTTAGGGGAAGAAGTGCAGCGAGAAAAGCTACCCGGAAACAAAGGTCGAGATTAAACAGCGCCATGTTTCGATTGAATGTTATAACACCAGGTTCGTGGCGACTTTTGTAGAGCCAAAGGTCACTTCTCAACACCTTGTCGCGTTGAATTTTGCGTGCGGGAAATGCTTTACTGGTCCGTCGATAATCCAACGTAAACTGAAATGTAGTGCAATGAGTCGGCTAATTATTAAATAAAAACAGATTACAAGACAAGGGTATCTAAAAGACAGTAATGATGCGGCACATGCTTTACTGGTCGAATAAGGCAGGTGTAGCGGCCGACACAAGAGAAGAAAGTTTCGACGACTACTGTTAAGTCATGTTTGCAAGTGAAGACGCACTGTGAAGCGAGGATGTATTTTACGGAAAAGTCTTGAATCGTTCTACTTAACCGTTAGTCGAGGTATCCAAGTAGTTATGGTAAACTGAAATATGAATTGGCTAACCTAATTTCTTGTATACGAACTAACAATCCAAACATTCCGATACAAGGACAGAAGTAAGCTAAAACCTAAAAGATAAATTCACACAAACACTATATCTTCGAAAGGATAAATGAGAGCCGCTTGAAAACGAACTCTTACACAAAGCAATAGCCAAGCGGGAAAAAATGTGTAGTGTTCTAACTTAACGTGAGCCACGTGTCACAAGGTTGCAAAACCGAGCGATGAAGAGACTTGTGTAAAAACTCGGCGAGACTACAAAAAAGGCTAGATATCTAGAAAAGTAGAAAGAGAAAGAGCATAGACACTTACATAACATTCCCGCTTGAAATAGTTTAACCAAAACGAACTTCAAGGTGAACAAAAACCCTCTTCCGATAAACACGACTAATAGTTTGACCAAAGCAAGACAACTGACTAAAATGAGGTTCTGAGTGGAACCTTAATAGATCGCGTCCCTAATGGACAAACAATAGTGTCGTTATTGTGGTTTGACACAAATCAAACTTGTAGCGAATCAATATAGAGATTTACCACCGCTTTTAGACTGACCACGTGACCTTAGTTTTCCAGCCCGCCGTTTTTTTTAAAAATTTTTCTAATGACCGGTGATACAGGCATGGCAGTCTTTACAGCCAGATATCACGGAAACTCAGCCATTACAATCGAACGTAAACTGAAATACAATACATTGAATCAACTAATTACTAAACTTCTAATTGTTTTAAAGCGATAACAATGATATAAACGATAACAGTTATAAAATCCTTATAAAATTGCAGAAGATAAAATGTTACAGTTGTGTCCCGGTATGCGATCGCGATTGTTTTGATCAGTGGCTATTTGTAACAAAACGCTCATCCGGAAAAGGATGTCTGTTCACTAACTCACTCGCTCAATATTGTCTTAATTGTATAATTATAATTTTAAACAATATCGTCCTCAGTTGCAGCACAACAGCATCGATCGAGTTCTGCAGCAGTTTGATTCCTACTGAAGGGGAGGCCTCATATGTTGTTGCGATGAGGGAGTGAGTGAGTACGTGAGTGAGTGAGTGTAACAAAAAAATTTCGCTTTGACTCAATTTTTACCCGATATTACCCACTTATTGTTTTTTTTTCGGAGAAGAAGGCGATAAACTTCTCACAATCATTTCAGAATTTTGCGCAATTTCAACAGAAGTTTTCCGTGCAGAAATATCTCAAATAGGTGCAATCGGCGCATAATGAAACTTTAAGGAAATTTTTTTTCTTTGAGGAGAAAGCATTTTACCGTTTAAATCAGCAAACTATGTAGCTCGACCATAAATTATAATCTTTTCATTCCTTGCAGTACGTGACACTACCAAAGACGATAAACATCTTTAAAAAAATTTCACAGCGGCATCCACCGACGCATAATTGGCTGGGGGTCGCACTGGAGATCACAATCGTGATAAAGTCCGATTAATCATGATATAAGATAAGGCTAATGGGAGTCGCGATTTAGCAACAGGAAAACCTGTCATATCAGAACAGTCATCACAACACGATGTTCGCTTTTCTTTCGCAACGCACAATATTTCTTACTCCACTGTTCCATTAATTTAGGTATCGCCCTGGCTAATCAAATTCAAATCGTTCTCGTCCTCGTTTCCTTTTAACTTTTTCGGAGGGCCAAAAGCACGTTCGCGTCATCTTGCAAGGCTTCGCACGTTTTGTCTGGGCGGGACTGTAAACGAATATTATTTTCGTAGCTAGTCTCCCGTAGGAGATGAAGCCACATATGTTGTCGCGATGAGTGAATGTGTGCGTGAGCGAGTGAGTGTAACGATAGAATTCCGATCTTGACCCAATTTTGACCCGATATTACCCACTTATTGTTTTTTTTTCGGAGCAGAAAGCGATAAACATCTCTCAATCATTTCAGAATTGTGCGCGATTTAAAACAGAAGTCTTCCTTGCAGAAATATCTAAACGGGATCGGTGCATCATAAAAGAAAAGGTGTTTTGCAACAGTCTGCCTTGCGATCAAAATGTTGGACAATGCTTGGAAGTGGGAAAGTTGATTGGCGGCGAATATTTACAAAGTGAAGTGCCAAAACAAGCTCAGCTAAAAATGTAAATTGAATGGATGCAGTTGTGCAATGTCTAGTTTGCGAAATGAAAGTGAAAGGCTATTTCATGAAAACTTAATAAAGATCAAAGGCTGTGTGAGCCGACTCGTGAATTGGATAAGCCAATGTAGTTTGTGTCGTCAATAGAAATGGGTGTTTGATTTCCATACTAGTGTATGAGTCGTTAGACTGGTAAATGAACATTTTGAGGAATATGATGTGAAATTAAATTAAGCCTCAAAGACAGAAAATATGGCCTGATTAGGATTTAGTGTAAGACAATCACTGTTCCAGATTTTACTGTAAAGGTTTGTGAAAAGAAAGTTCAAAAGGGTGCTGTTTTGTTTATCATAAAACTATTGTTCCAATATTCAGCTCAGTATTTACTTGCGATGCAAGCATAGGGATAGGCATGTAAAAGCTTATGCGCTGGATGGAACGATCGGACATAAGGATAAGCATATATGCATAAGATTATGAAAACGTTGCCTTCTTTTTATGCTTATACGTACTGTCTAGTTAAGACTTGGTTGGCATAAGCGTAAGGATAAACATAAGCGAAAGACTTTCAGGCAATCAGCAAGCACTATACTGCTTATACCAACCATGTCCCTATTTAACATAACATCGACTGAGCGCTTGTGCTCATGTTTATGTTGCAGCTGTGCCCACCAGCGCATTAGCTTGTTATGTTTATGCTTATGCTTGTGTTGCAACTGAGTACCGCGCTTGAAGCCTGTTTCGCACTTCTGAGATAATAATTAGCACGAGGATGAAAACAAGTACAAGGATGTTCACACTAATAACATACGCATACACAGTGCGAGTTGCACCATTGAAGAAACAGCATATCGATTGATTGAACTTGTGCTTGAGCTTATTTCACTTCAGTTCCCACTTGTGAACCATTTTCCAACGTCGATACAGCTCCAGGAATACCAAACAAGCCTTAAACGAGTCACTTTACGAGCAGTTGGCCGTGAGCGACACTTCAATATCGGACTATCGGCGAGCAGCGACTCGAGCCGTTTGAGCCCGCACGTGAAATAACCAAAAGATCAGCGCTTTAAATGTAAAATTAATATTCAGATAAAGTTTCGTGGAAATCTGATGTGGTGCCTGAGTGGACTTCCAGTCAAAAGCAATGCTTTCAGAGAAGCGACGTACCTGGTTCAAACCCGCCGCACTCAAGTAAATTTTGCGTTGTGCTTAATTTCCTTTCTTTATTTTCTTTTTCGGACACAATAATCATTTTCCTGGATATATACATTCAAAAATAGAAGTATTGACTCCATAAATGAAATATACGCTGCAAGAGATTAAAGTGCATTCGGAGATTGGCGAAACTGTAATTCACAAATGAAAAACGTATACTTTTTTACTCTTTCAAGATTATCATTGGCTTCTTTTTCACCCCAACACTGTTCTTAGCAACAAAGGTCGCCATTTCGTTTGTTTATCACTCGCCAAAAACTATCAAATTTATTCAAAAGCCTAAAATAGAAAAAAGTTTACGGGAATCGACCAACCGAGCGATCGAGCGCCATTCATCACATCATACCTACAACTCGCTCTTGCGCATGCGTGCAATTTACGAGTTAAAAAGGAGACATGGTAAGTCAGGATCAAAGGCATCTTGTTCATAAAACATTCATTTAAAAATCTAGAGCTATTCTGTTCTTTCTGCACATGTCCATTACTTACTTCATTGTTATCATCTTAGAATGACCTTTTGTTGCTTATTAACAATCCTTTCCAAACATTTTATTTCATCCATACTCTATTACCTGAAAATATTTTATCGCTACTATTAATACTATTACCTTCTATCATGTTGTTCTGATGCCTAAAATTACTGTAACGGTGTAAGTATGAAAGATTGACTCTTACTTAATAAAACATATTCGTTGAGCCAGGCATCTTCACGTTTGATCGTCTTTAAAGAGGTTTCATTAAGCTTGGAAACCTCACTAAAGTTACGAATATCTTTTACCTCTCGTCCAAGGTTATCGCTTGTGTCCAGATCTAGGTATGCGAGATTCCTCCGTACGGCATTTCACTTATTTCAAATGCACAATATATCATTATACAGATACAAGCAACATATAAGAAAGAATTCAGAAATAAACGTTACATAGATCCGCCAATCAAGGGTTGTTGCACGCTAAACGCTTTATGATGTAGTTTCTTACTTGTAAACTAATGATCAGAAACAAATTTTGATCATGTTTGTTCTTCGAGTGAACGGACTGTATTCGCCGGCAGGATCTTTTGCGCTACCCGCTTCAAACGAATTCATTCCGCTGCAAAGTTTCTTAGTGCCTCTTTCAACGAGACAAGATAAAAGTCAGTCGCGCATCGAAATACGGATTCTAGAACAGCAAGGATAATCTAACTTGACGGAAAAAGTCAATTGTGGAATTCACGAATTTCCTCGTAAACTTCTTCATTTTGTTTCTCGTCGCTTTCTTTGTGAATAGTCGTATTGTAATATGCAGCGGTCCCCGCTTCCTCATCAATGGACTGGTACTCATTAGTTATTTCAGACTGTTCACTCGGGGGCTTGGATTTAAGTTCCCAATCGGAACAAGCATCTGATGCGGGTTGATCACATGACTTTATATCACGTGAGGGGTGGAAGCCATCAAGGCCCACTTCCCCTTTAATCTTTTTGTCATAAGGAACAGTTCGCCTCCGATGCCACAACAGCCCACAAGTTATAATGAGCAACACAAGCACGAGACAAGACAATGTGATGACACTAGTAAGGAAGATGGTATGAGTACCTTGCAAAAAAGAAACCAAAAAACTGTCAAAAACTTAAAACAGAGCCTTAGTAAATAAAATAATGTAATATAATTCAATTCAGAAAAATTAATCCGAGATGCAAATTAAGATTTAAATTCAAAATGGAGTTTTGAGCATTAACATTAGAATTAAACTCAGTAAAACCTCCTAATAACTCTTCCTTTTACGCAAAGAGACAGAGAATTCATCATTAAGCCTAAGCATAACAGGTCATTATGGGGAACTTGGTGTTTTTGATGAGTTCATAAACAGCTGTGCGTCTTATTTTGGCCACTTGAATCCATGCCACACGAATACATCACCAAAATAATACGGCACGTAGATTTCAAACACTTACTTCAAGATTAACAGTGTATTAGATTTAAAGAGGCTGATAATATACATGCACCAAAGTTGTATCATCACGGATAACTTCCATACTCACTTGGCTTTTGTTTCCCTCCAAACACCTCTCTTCTCAAACACACCCTACCCTGGTGTGTTTGTGGCTGGTATCGTACATATCTTGCTAACACTCCGTAAACAGCACGCTTAACATTTGAGTTTCCATCATTATTTCCTTGTAAAACCTAGAGAAATTAAGATAAACATTTCCCATTGAAACATTTCCTTCCAACATGAACAGGGGATTAAAAATAATAGAGGTTTTGCGCAGCAGCCATGTTGGATGGCAGGAACAATGGATTGTTTTATCCATGGGAAAAATATTTCTTTCTTATGCAAAATATCTTCATTGTTCCTGCCATCCAGCATGGCTGCTGTGCAAAACCTCTATAGGGCTCTTTCTAGGTGGCTAAATATAGGTAAGCCGTCT